CGCATACATTCAACTGCATCGATCGCGTCGAGCGCGCGACCGAAGCGCTGCCGTCGCGAAGTCTGAACGCTGCCTTAGGCTGCGGAAAGTTTAGGTATCGATCTAGCGTATGCCAGGTTTTTGGCAGCAGTTTAAGCTTGAGCAAAACTGCCCACAAAAAAACGACTGCTGGCATACGCGTGATCGGTACCTATACCTTCCTCGTCGCTGGCGTACGCTCAAAATGCTGCCGTACGCAAAGTATGATCACACGCAAAGTATGAACACAGCTTAACTGCGGGTTCAGTGGGAGCATAGAATACAGTGAAATTGAGATTTTTTTTTCTTCTGATTTTTACTAATCTTTTATTTGAGGTTCCAGCGTTGTTGCAAAGTTTTTCAAAAAAGGCTAATATTGTGTTCCATATAACGCTAATGTGATCGCCGTATTCTTCCCTACTGAATTCCAAAAACCCTGTTGCTTAAAAAACGTTAATGCCGTGAAAAGCACATGTCCCTGCGCGACGTGACTAACCAACTCATGGCTATTGATGAGTAGGTAATCCAATAGGTCTCTATATGTGTACATGCTTTGGAAAAGTGCACTGTATTGTGAATTTCCCTGGATTTTCCGCCTAGCTACTGGTTTTTTTACGCTATTCCCAAGGCTGCCTAGTGAAATTGATTTGCATGAATGAGATAAATGCAATTTGTAGGCGATGTCGTTTCACCCATCATCGTACCAATCAACAACGTATACAACCTCATCTACTGCACCATTTCATTCATCAAGCTCTACAGCTTTCATTCCCAACAACACAATCACGGTGAGTGCTCAGTTATACCGAGAATCATAGTGTTCTCGAGCTTGTGCTGGGTTATTGTTACGGGCGTAGTTCGGCGACGGGGGGGGGCGTCTTCCATTTTTGCTACTTCCCTTCGACGTGTCGAGCCATCAGTTACCTGAATATCTTGTGAAGCCATGAAAGTACATGATGATACAAGTACAATGACATACCATACGAATACCATTTACCATGGTGGCTCGACCAATTTGCTTTAGTTTCACAGGGGTTTACAGGTTTTACCAGAGCGAGACTTGTAAACCGGAACCAGTGAAGCTACAAAGGGCGAAATGCCTCCCCCTCTTTTCTGCCGTCCAAGTGCTCCCGGTTGCGCATCTGCCACTCGGGTTCGTGCTATACCATCATCCAGCGATTCCCTCCGGCTATAGCATCGGTGGAGGAGGAAGAAAATGAGGCGTATCCCTCAAGGAATACAATAACACTTTTTCTTTTCAGCTGCAACAAACGCCTCAATCAAGTCGTGGAGGTCAAGTAACGCAGGCACAGATGCGCCTGTCGGCCGATAGTGACGAAAAAAGGATTTCACAGCTGCTTGACACTTATTTCTTAGATCAGCCGGCATCAACGTCTACATGGGCAACGCCTAGTCATCAAACAGTACAGGTGAGACATTCGTTCGTTATTTAACACGTTGCGGACCGTGGGCACCACCTTGCGACTTGCCCGAATACTTGGAGAAGAGTGGCTTTGTCTGTTTTTTTTTAGTTTCTGGGCTTTATTAGGTTTTTGGACCAGCAAAACAATTTGTGCATTACTATCAGCAGAATTAATTATGAATTCCCGTTTATGGACGAGAACGTCCTAAATTGACTTAGGTACACAGTGTGGCGGTTCGCAAAGTGTTCCTATTGAAATCAGTTTCTTCACCTAATTTCGATTCAATTCAGGTTCAGTCTAGCCAGCCACTTC